GGTCAAATTGTTCGTGAGAGATTATTCAGCGTGAAGTCGGTCTGTCTTTCAATATTTGCGACACCGGTTCACGCTGTACATGAGACACGCGTAGCTAGCGCTGCACGACCGCTAACCTGAGGTCGTTAACGTGCATCACGCGCTATACTCCTCTGAATGAACCGCAGATGCTGTGTCAGTGCTTGTGCACCCGCGAGCGCTCCTGTGCCCGCCGAGCCGTCATCCAAAAAAATTAGCTCGCGTTTTTAACACGTGTGACCAACAATGGTCCATGCTGAGGTGAGACGAAGTATTCCTGGTGTTCATAGCACGTTCTGTAAAATGAGCTCGCGCTCCTCGTGCTCCTAGCTCCAACACGTCAGCGACACGCGCGAGCTAGCGCGTGATCCTCCCTTTGAAACAAAAATGTTTAGCGCAAGCGGTCATTCCGCGAAAACACGTCTGAAGGCTGCACTTTCGTGCCGGTAGCCTTCGTTGTTTAAGGAAAGGCCTCGGGCACGTGCAGCATTCGCACGGAAATCTATTTTGGTGTTGTTGTAGTGTTGTAAAGTGCAGGAGGAAATCTGGAAGCCACTCGCATCTATTTCACGAGCAGAGTGCTCGCGAAAGTAGCGTAAGTGCTTTTAACGTAAGCTATCACTTTTAGAGACAGATTGTTATTGTTTGAATAATCTTCTTTCTTTTTTCCCCTAAATTAATTCGTGATTGGAGTGATCTCCGAGAATACGTGTCAACAGATACCTGTATAGTGTCATATTGACGTGATACTTGAGTGCTGTGCTTTTGATGCATTGCGTTTCTTTTTATTATTCCTTTTTTTTTCGCAATTTGACATTTGAATTTTTATGTAGTCAGACGCTGTTTCTCTATCTGTGACAATTTGATAGTTTGTATAAAAAAATGCATCCCTAAAATAATTCCCTCTGCACACTGTAGGCATTTTATAAATAAATAGAACAAATAAATATCCGCGGGAAGGATGCGCTAATAACTGACTGAATAATTTTCGATCAGTCTTTCATAGGTCGGTACTTAACGACAGTTAATCATACAAATATTAAGCTGAGATATGTTTTTGTAGTGAAGGCAAGTGGAACCGTTCGCGAGTTTTAGAGATTGGAAGAGCTATCGCTGTGAAACGCTAAACACTCTCCAATGTACTTTTTTTTTTTGGGGGGGGGGCATGTTGGTTTGAATATATTTACTGTGGCGGATGCTTTCAACGCGTGAGCTCTTGTTTAGTGGGGCATTTCTTCCGTAGTGCTCCCGCTCACTCTTGCCTCGGTATTACGAAAATCAAATGATTATTAACCCCTCCAACTAGCAATCCGGAAAATGGGTTTGATCGACGTGTTTCATTCGCTATGGCAATCGGTTTGTTGGATGATGCTTCATCGACAAAATCGTCCCGTCGACACTGCGCTGTCCCATCGACGGTTTCGTCAAAACGAGCGTTGTGTCGTTTCACAACGTAGCTTGCTTTGCGATAGCATTTATGGGCGAGCCCTGCGCACTTTACGCGTCCGTAGCGGTCCGCCGGTCGGTCGTCTGGAACCATACAACAGATTGGAACCACCACGTAACCACAGTGGAAACCGCGCTCCATATAATAGTCACAAGGTCACGTGACTATAATCCGTGGGGGCGATGTAAATATCGTGACTGATGAATTCATGAATCCCGAACAAGAGCTCTGCCGGACAAAAGCTTTTCACGGACCCGTATAAAACCTCAGCACTTTTTATCAGAGACCCGGATAAAAGTACATCATTTTATGACTACACATGAGCAAAGGATTAATGAAGAATTTCTTTAATTTCATTGCCGATCTTGATATGAGGACCGTATGTTTGTTTCTGGGGACTGAAAACTACGTTCAGAAATGTCTCGATATGGGCTCATCGGGGCCGCCAAATGGGGCTGCCGATGTTCGCGTCAAAAGGGAGTTTTCGTAGATCGCTTCCGCTGTCCCGCAACGCTCTCCGCAACCAGCTACGAGTTCCGGGTTTCTACAGCCAAGGACATCGGCGCGCAGGCGCGGTAGCGGCTTCTTCGTTGCGGAGGGCTTAGCGGAGGGGAGAACGCGGTCTACGAAAACTCCCTAATGCCTCGCCGTTCCGTCGCGGTCAAACGCATGGGACCTTTCGCTCCAGAATATTAAGTTGACTCTATGACCTCGAGAGAAAAGCTTCGTGCCCTAACTACGGGTTTATGGACTTCATTTCGTGGCCAGTGAAGAACCCCGTTGCGATTGACGGGACAAAAACATATTGTGAAACGTGGTTATACAATGGCGGCTCTATGACTTTGCGGCACAACTGCTGCCACAATAACACGCCGAATGCTTCCAACATGGCACCACCAAGGCACTGATAGCAGACGATAACGTTGTTTTTGATTTAGAGTTTAGCCGGAAATAACGTCAGCTGCAAAACGCAAAAAAAAAAAAAATCATACGAACGCTTATCACAGTGGACTGCCAAGTTCCACAAGGGAGACCGCTTTACAGAAAGTTCATGCCCTCTGTACGATCTGGTGGTGCACGAAAGCACCCGATGTCAAAAGCCCGTGTCAAATGTCTCACGGCTGACACTCCACCCTTTTGCCCCGCCTTTAAAAAGCTAGCTTGATCAGAAGCCCATGACGCGAATCCCCAGATCATATGGCCGGGTTCTCACCGTGATGGCGAAGCATTCTGCTTTTAATTAAGAGACAGCAAGTGTGCACGCGAGGGTGTGTAACGTAATCATGCCGTCATTTGTAGACGTTCAACATATTAGGTTAAGTCATGGAACAATGATGCTGCACCTGTACGATCGCCCACATGTCGTTGGTATTTTAGTCTACAGATCTGGTGCAATCCACATGTTTGCGTGCATTTTTTTTTATGCGCATGTTTTGCTGTTTTGTTTATGTTGAGGCATAACCTAGTTAGCCTCGCTGGTGCTCCGAGGCAACGGGAAGTGGCTGACGATTTTCTTAAAAATCATATTGCCTCTTTTTTTTTTTTTTTTGTTGGGAGACATTTGATTTATCATTCTCGCTTTAATGTTGACATTAGGGTTCAAGTTGAGTTCGGAGCGTCGTATCTGCCAGACTCTTTTTGTCTTCTTGCTCCAGAGCTGTCATGTTTATGCAATCTCTATCACATTGGTTTTTTGGATACCGGGCAAGCAAATACCAACAGAGACAAACGACAGAATTCGAGCGCCCTTCCCCCACACGGGGGGGGGGGGGGGGGGGGGGGGGGAGGCGCACGCACCGACAGCCTCGAAACGGAATGCTTACAAGGTCGCTCGGCCTGGTGCAAGAACTCGTTCTTTCCCTGGGAAAGGGCGAGAGAATGTGATGAGAGAACAGTTCCCCTCCCGTTTTCCCCACACTGCCCCCCACACCCATCACCAATCTCTTCTAATCTCTTCTTTGTAAGCGAAGAGGACTCGTCCTTGAAGGAGGACTCCCTTCATTCCTAAGCTGACAGTGTCGAGCGAGCTAAGCGCCCACCGGACCAGTTATCAGCTGCCTTGCTCTCTGCGCCTGGTTACAAGAGGGAGCGTGATCGCGTGGTTAAAGACAGACGTGCGATTAGTTCACCGGGCACCCCTTAGCTTCCTCTACACTTTCAGCTTAGGAGTGACGGAGTGTCACGGGTGTGGAGCTGGGAAGAAAAGAAGAAAAAGAAGTGAAGAGAGGAGGAAGAGGATCGCGAGAAACGACGGGCAGGTGCGGGAGTTCTGACCCGTCGCTTGTTGAAGCCGGCAACGCTCCGGCTACTGAAGCTTCACAGAAACAGGCCCCGCTCCGGTTCCTGAGACCCCGGCCACGCTCCGGCTCCTGAAGCCTCACCGAAACCGGCCCCGCTCCGGTTCCCGAGAACCCAGCCACGCTCCGGCTCCTGAAGCCTCACCGTAACCGGCCCCGCTCCGGTTCCTGAGAGCCCAGCAACGCTCCGGTTCCTGAGAGCCCAGAAACGCTACAGTTCCTCAAGCCACGAAGAACCCGGCAACGCTCCGATTCCTGAGGCCACGACGAGCCCCGCCACGCTCCTGAGGCCACGACGAGCCCCGCTATGCTCCTGAAGCCCCGCCACGTCAGGCGTGAGTCGAGCTTTTGTGGGGACTTGACCACGGGGACTCCGGTCTGCTTCGAACTTTTCCTTTTCTTTCTTTATTGTTGATAACTACCTCCTGATTTCCTTTCATTATATTATTACGTATGTACATGCCTTTGTCTCACCTGGTCTTGTCTCAATCATTTCGCGTGTCGGACCGGGCGAACGTGACAATTGTGGCGAGCCTGCCAGGATCCCATTTACCATCAGTTTAATTGGATCACTTCGTCCGGGACACACACGAATTGCTAGAGTCAAAAAGACTAGCATGGAGAACGAGAAATTATTGGCGGTGGGAAAGGAGTTGGGTTATCAGGGAGATGAGTTGAAGAAATGGATGGAGGACGAAAAAGCTAGACTGCGAGAAGAAAGAGCGTGGGCGCGACAGGAACGCGAGGAGGAATGTGTCCGGTTGGACAAAGAACGCGAAGTTCTGCAACTTCGGTTGGCAGTACAAAGCGCAGGGGCGCCACGTCAGGACGCCATTCAAGGTATAGGTGAAGGAGAGGCTACTAACTTGGCCGCGACGACCGGCGAGGCGCGACACTTTAGCCCTCATAAGTTAATTCCTCAGTTCGAAGAAGGAAGGGATGACTTAGATGCATATTTGCTACGCTTTGAACGTACTGCAACGGGAATGGGTTGGCCTCAGCAGAAATGGGCGACGACTCTGAGTTTGTGCCTCACTGGTGAAGCATTGACGGTAGTGGGTCGGTTGTCGCCAGAAGACGCACTGGATTATGCGAGAGTGAAGCTGGCACTGCTTCAAAGGTTTCGTTACACTAAAGAAGGGTATAGAGAACGGTTTAGGGATGCAAAGCCCGAAGAGGGGGAGACGAGGAGACAGTTTGCCGCCCGTCTCGCTGGGTATTTTGACAGGTGGGTTGAGATGGCCAATATTCAACACACGTTTGAAGCCCTCCGTGACAAGGTCTTGGTCGAGCAGTTTCTGCTCACTTGCTCCACCAAGTTGACTATTTTTCTCCGAGAGAGAGAATGCCAAAGCTTGCGAGAAGTTGCGTCAAAGGCGGACCTTTTCCTAGAGGCTCAGGCCCAGCCTACTACGAGTAAGTCGAAACTCGACGAGACGAATAAGCAGTCTAGTGTGGCGTTAGCGGATAAGTCTAAAACAGGAGGGGGCAGGAAAGCTTTGCGTTGCTTTTTATGCAACAAAACTGGGCACAAGGCGGAAAACTGTCATGGACGTCCGCCGGCCTCCAAAGGAATTACTTGCTGGCAATGCGGGAAAACTGGACACCGTGCAGATAGCTGCAGGTCAAAGCCTAACGACAATCATCAGGCGTCATGTCTCTGGACGAAGTCAAGAAACGGAGAGGTGACCGAGCCCGAAGATGGCTTTGTTACCCTCAAGAATGGTGACAAGATTCCGGTTGTCAACTCGGCAGTAGGACATCCTCCCAAGTTTCTAGTGGAGAATCTGCCAGTTGTAGAGGGAGATATGGGTGGCCACAAAATAACTGTCCTCAGGGACACGGGCTGCAACACCGTCGTTGTTCGCCAGAGCTTGGTTCCGAAGGAAGCGTACACAGGAATATTGAGCCCGGTGTTTCTACTGGACAAAACAGTAAGGCACCTTCCCGAGGCCGAGATTGTGGTTAGGACACCATACTACACGGGAAAGTTAACAGCGAAGTGTGTAAACGACTCTCTGTACGATCTGGTGTTGGGAAATGTGCCGCTTGTACGAGATGCCAATGACCCCGATCCAAACTGGAGTTTGAATGTGAAAACGAGGGAAGCTCATATGTTGGCGACAGAGCCAGCCGATGAACAGAAGACAGGGACGGAAGGCGTCCTGGCGAAAGAGACACATGTAGAGTCTCTAGAACGCTCTGCTGACGAATCTTTACTCGAACGGGGCGATAAAGAGTTCATGGGCACCGCGGGGGCTGTGCTGACCAAGAAACCTACATGTCGACCCCCGCCATCGCCTCCCGAACTGCGAGTACCCGAGGTACCACTGCTTCAAACAACTAAAGAGGAGCTCATCCAGGAGCAAAAGAATGACGAAACCCTGAAGAAATGCTTCCACGACGTTGGGAAAGTAACCAAGAAGCACAGGGGCAGAACGAAGTACGAGTTTTTTATTAGGAATGAGCTGTTGTACAGGAGCTGTACATACAGTTCCGGAAGAAAAACCGACCAGTTGGTTCTCCCGAAAAAGTTTCGGCGAACTGTCACCGGGATGGCACATGACGGAATAATGTCAGGCCACCAGGGCGTGAGCAACACAATAGCACTAGTGTCTGAAGAGTTCTTTTGGCCGGGTGTCCAAAGCGACATTAAGAGGTACGTGCGGTCGTGTGACATTTGCCAACGGACGGTCCCCAAAGGGAGAGTAGGCAAGGCCCCCTTAGGTACCATGCCGACGATTGTAACTCCCTTTCAGAGGGTGGCCATTGACATCATTGGTCCGATTGCTCCCAGATCAGACTCGGGGAACCGATACATCTTAACCATGGTGGATGTGGCTACTCGATACCCCGACGCGGTAGCCTTGAAAACCATCGGGACTCCGGTAGTAGCGGAAGCTTTAGTTGACATGTTTACGCGATACGGCGTACCGAGAGAGGTCCTTAGTGACCGTGGTAGCGCGTTTTCTTCCGACCTGATGAAGGAGGTGGGTCGCCTGCTGTCAGTGAGACGCCTTTTGACTACTCCCTATCATCCCATGAGCAACGGGTTGGTAGAGAAATTCAATGGAACTTTAAAGTTGATGCTGAATGTGTCAGGAGAGGCCCAAGGATTGGGACCGGTACCTGCCAGCGCTGTTGTTCGCTTACCGGGAGGTACCCCAGTCCAGTTTGAGATTCTCTCCATTTGAGTTGTTATATGGGAGAACGGTACGGGGGCCATTAACTATACTGAGAGAAGTGTGGTCCAACGAGGCGTTGAACGAGGAAACAAAAACGTCGTACAGCTACGTCATGGAACTGAGAGACAAACTGGAGGAGACCTGCAAACTGGCACACCAATGCTTGGATGAAGCCAAGGTAAAATACAAGGCGTATTATGATCGGAAGAAAGTCAACCGAGAAATGAAGGTAGGGGATAAAGCACTACCCTACTGAAAAAAACCATTTGAAATTCAAACGGGTGGCAAACTGGTCGCCCGTTTGAATCAAACCTGTCGATCCGTTTGGATCAAACGTGATTATGGGATACGGGTACCCGCTTGGAAACGGTACCCGTTCGAAACGGTACCCGTTTGATACAGGTGCCCGTTTGATACGGGTGCCGTATGGTACGAGTACCCGTTCGACATGGCACGTGACCACACGTTTGAACGTGCACTTCGAAATGGCAAATTATGCGCTAGCCCTAAATGGGTATCGTCTGGGAGGTTGGTTATCTTAAACATATTTAAGACGTACCGAAACTCATAAACGTATTTATAACATGGAGAAAACACGTAGAACAAATGCACTCGCGTAGGTGCTTGTAAGTGGACAGGAAAACCGACACAAAAGATTGTTTTCAATTCTCCTCGAAGTTTATTACCTCTTCTGTAGACAAGTACAAACGTGCAAGCGATCTGTGAACACTATACAGGTAGACTTTCGGGGAAGTTATTCTCCTGGCTGCCGCGCGAATAGGCGCTGCATAATTCTTTAGATAATTTAGAAGAGTACGCGTAGAAGAACGGTCAATCGTTGCCAACACGTAGGTTGCAGTGCACTTACCATAACAATAGCGGACTTGAAAGAGGTAATCCGTGATATTTGTCTACACGGTCAAAGCAGGACAACCACACAAACACAAACGAGAGGGAACGGCTCCTTGGAAGTTTCAACACGATGCGGCGCACAAGCTGTCATTTGCCGAACCCAACCAAACCGCGAGAATTTGCGACTTCTTTGAAGAATCGCTCGTTGCCGACATACACGTGGGTCTTTTCGATCACTGATAGCTTTGGTGCACATCCAATACGTTGTCGAGAGACATCCCAATAAGACCGCAGGGTTAGGCGACAGATTGAAGCAGGTAGGACGAGCGAACTTCGAGCAGCAACTGACAACAAGCAGACAAAGAAAAAAGCGGCTGCAAGGCGCGCCCTTCCGGATCTCGATGCTTATCAGCGTGTAGCTCGCGCGCTGCTGTGGGTCACGTGACAGGGGTGACAAGAGAGGAGGGAGGGGGCGAGGTCAAGGCGCTGGGACCACCGGGACAGCCCCTCTCCCTCTCCCCAGGCATTCCAGGGAGATGCGTTTTTGTAGTCCCGAAAAACAAACGCGCGCGCGCGCGCGCGCTCGAACTTTGGAAATGGCGGCGGGGCTGCCAGAAGCTCGGCTTGCGCCCGAGCGAAGAAAGAACTCAGCGCAAGCTCGTAGTTTGAGTGCTGCAACGGCGGGCGTGCTCTCGCAATGCTCGATGTTCTTGCAGCCGCGTGTACGCGTGCTACCTTCGCTGCGTCTTGAATTAAAGTGAAACGGAGTCTAGACGTACATTCTTTCACGCGGTCGCGTCTTCTGCGAGAGAGATTCGAGCTGAATAAGTAAATTGAGGCAACAAAGATGGACAAAGTATTAAAGGTCTGTCAAAAATAACGGCTCACCAACGTCGCGCGTTTACGTAAAACAAAAAAAAAAGGTGTTAGTTTTAGTTGCAGTATAATCGAAAATCAGCGCAATTGAAATATAAATATAATTACTTGCATTACGCGGACGATCTGAAATCGATGAACCGGCGCTCCCAGCCTCCCGGAAAACATTGGCTGCCACGGCTGAAACGCTAAGCGTGCCCACGCTGCCGATCTGTACGTTCAATATCAAACGGGCTCCGGAGAGCCGTTTGATTAAACCGGTGCAGTTTGCAACATGGTCGCCGGTTTGAGCAAACGTGCGACAACTTTGCCCAAACGAGTCGCCCATTTGCCCAGACGAGCGACCCGTTTGCCAAATAGGTGACCGTTATGGCTCATACGGGGGACCCCTTTGAACCATACGGGCGACCCCTTTGACAAACTGGTGACCAGTATGGTTAAACGGTTACCGGTATGGACCCGTTTATTTTCATATGGGCGCCAAATGGTTTTTTTCAGTATTGTAATCCTCCTTCCAAGCGACAATAACAAGTTGCTCATGCAATGGAAGGGTCCCTTCATCGTCGCGGCGCGAAGAAATGAAGTTGACTATGAGCTGGAGATTGCCGGAACGAGAAAAGCCTTTCATGTAAATATGCTCAAAAAATATGAAGAGAGGACCGAAATGGACCCGGCGGCACCGAGGTGCAGCGCGGCAACAGCAACTGACGATGACAACAAAAACGACGAGGAAGACGCCATAGACGATGTCCCGACTCTGTCCCTGACACGACAACAAAACGGGCAAGACGTACTGGTGAATACGGCCCTGAGTACAGAGGAGAAGAAACAAGTTGCGACTTTGATTGGAGAATTTGAAGAAATCTTCTCTGATTTACCCGGAAAAACAAACTTGATTGAGTGCGACCTGAAGCTGACAACTCAGGCACCAGTACATGTTAAACAGTACCCTCTGCCGATAAAGGTACACGAAACAGTGGAAAAGGAAATAACAGAGATGTTGCGGCTGGGAGTGATCGAGAGATCAACATCACCATTCAACGCGCCTATAGTATTAGTGAAGAAGTCGGATGGGTCCAGCAGATTCTGCATTGACTTTAGGCGGCTAAATGACGTGTTGGTAGCCGATGCCGAGCCCATTCCCAGGGTAGATGTCACGTTTGCTAAAGTGGGATGTAAACGTTTCTTCACGAAGTTAGACTTAGCCAAAGGATATTGGCAGATCCCCATGACAGAATCATCGAAGCATAAAACAGCGTTCTCAGCTTTGAGCGGTCTGTATCATTTCAGATTCATGCCGTTCGGCTTAAAGACAGCTTCCGCGACTTTCACGAAGCTGATGCGGATCCTATTAAGAGGCATACCGAATGCACACCACTATATCGATGATGTTCTGGTGGCAACGGACTCGTGGGAGGAGCACATAGATGCACTAAAGGCTATATTCGGAAGGCTGCGCGATGCGGGGATCACAGTCAAGCCAAAAATGTGTGAAATTGGATTTCACGAAATCAGCTTTCTCGGCCACAGATTAGGATCAGGCCAAATAGCCCCAAGACAGGAGATCCTGACGAAGATCCAAGAGGCGCAAAGGCCGACAACAAAACGACAGGTCAGGTCCTTTTTGGGTTTGACTGGATTCTACAGGGAATTCATTCCTAACTACGCAGAGGTGGCGGCTCCTCTGACAGTGTTGACCCAAAAGGGAACTCGCAACGAGGTGCAGTGGGACGACGAGCGGGAAAGGGCATTCAAGCGCCTGAAGGAGGAATTGTGTAAACCTCCCATCCTCATGGCTCTCGACCTAGACAAGGAATTTGTGCTACGTACAGACGCCTCAAGCGTCAGTTTGGGAGCAGTCCTTCTACAGGAAAAAGATAGCGTACTGCACCCTGTCGCGTACGCAAGCAGACGGTTAAGCAAGACGGAAAAGAACTATGCCACGATTGAAAGGGAATGCCTGGCACTAGTTTGGACCGTTGAAAAGTTTGCACTATATTTATATGGCAAGCATTTCCGAGTGCAAACTGACCACCAGCCGTTGGAATTCTTAAATAAGGCTAAACACACCAATAGTCGAGTCATGCGATGGAGCATGAAGATGCAAGACTATAGCTTTCACGTCGAATACATTAAGGGGAAGGATAATGTAGGTGCAGACTACTTAAGTCGGATGTAAATAAGGAATTTAGACATAGAATGCCCTCGTGCCTATTTTTTTTTCTTGCTCGATAGCGCATGGGGTAATACGGGGATCGAGTTACTGCATGGTTTCGAAGTGCAAACATGGTTCTTTTTTTTTTGAGGGGGGAAAAGGGACGCAATTTAATGTGAATTGAGTTTTATTTCGAAGTTCTTCACGCATGATTTTTTTTTGGTACTTTGCGCGCGAGCGTGAAATGAAGGAGCTGTGTTACATCGGGAACGGTCAAGAGTGTAGACTGGTGCTGCGCGCGCGAGTGCTACGAGAACGGATGCGGTCTTTGCCAAGGCTCGAGATCGCCCAGGCCAAGAGTAAGTGCTGCGCAAGTGCCGGCAGGAATTACCGTCAGTCCGAGACTTTACCAATGGACTTCAAGATTGACGGTGTAGAAGAAGTTCAACGATGAACTTCTCAAAGTTGGGGGGCATTGTCACGGGTGTGGAGCTGGGAAGAAAAGAAGAAAAAGAAGTGAAGAGAGGAGGAAGAGGATCGCGAGAAACGACGGGCAGGTGCGGGAGTTCTGACCCGTCGCTTGTTGAAGCCGGCAACGCTCCGGCTACTGAAGCTTCACAGAAACAGGCCCCGCTCCGGTTCCTGAGACCCCGGCCACGCTCCGGCTCCTGAAGCCTCACCGAAACCGGCCCCGCTCCGGTTCCCGAGAACCCAACCACGCTCCGGCTCCTGAAGCCTCACCGTAACCGGCCCCGCTCCGGTTCCTGAGAGCCCAGCAACGCTCCGGTTCCTGAGAGCCCAGAAACGCTACAGTTCCTCAAGCCACGAAGAACCCGGCAACGCTCCGATTCCTGAGGCCACAACGAGCCCCGCCACGCTCCTGAGGCCACGACGAGCCCCGCTATGCTCCTGAAGCCCCGCCACGTCAGGCGTGAGTCGAGCTTTTGTGGGGACTTGACCACGGGGACTCCGGTCTGCTTTGAACTTTTCCTTTTCTTTCTTTATTATTGATAACTACCTCCTGATTTCCTTTCATTATATTATTACGTATGTACATGCCTTTGTCTCACCTGGTCTTGTCTCAATCATTTCGCGTGTCGGACCGGGCGAACGTGACACGGAGCCCAGCAAGCAAATTACACACACTAAAACAAACAAAAAAAAAAGAGAAAAATAAAAAAAAAAAAAAAGAAGAGAAGAAAGCGTTCAGAGGCGCGCGCGCCAAAACGCCGTCGAGGCGAGATCTCTTTGCTTTGGAGCATTTCGCCATCGGAGCGGCGGAGGGAGGCCCACCCGAAAGCCGGTTCACTCAGCTCGCGGACGAAGACGTCTGTCACGTGATGTTTACTGGCCGCACCAGGCCGCACCGTCGG